CTACGCTAACTTCTCTATAAAATACTTCTACTCTTGCTGCACCAACTTCACTATAAAATACTTCTACTCATGCTACGCTAACTTCTCTATAAAATACTTCTACTCTTGCTGCACCAACTTCACTATAAAATACTTCTACTCATGCTACGCTAACTTCTCTATAAAATACTTCTACTCCTGCTGCACCAACTTCACTATAAAATACTTCTACTCATACTACGCTAACTTCTCTATAAAATACTTCTACTCCTGCTGCACCAACTTCATTATAAAATACTTCTACTCCTGCTGCACCAACTCCACTATAAAATACTTCTACTCATGCTACGCTAACTTCTCTATAAAATACTTCTACTCATGCTACGCTAGCTTCTCTATAAAATACTTCTACTCATGCTACGCTAGCTTCACTATAAAAGGCTTATAATTCTGCTGAGCCAACTTCACTATGCTTTCAGTATAGGTGTGGTTTTTGTTGCTAGTGCAACCTTTGCTAGATTTCTTACATGATACGCCGCTTTAATTCTTCAGTCTCTGACCTCCAATCTAAGACAGAATGCAAGTATTCCTACACTGTGCTAAACTACTTGCACTGCGCGTATATTGTGACAATGATAAACACTTTGCATTAATTCTGTATTCTGGCACTGTCAATCTCAATCCACTACGCATGTATACCAACAGTGCTAATCTCATTGAACTGTGTATATATTCTGGTACTGTTAAGTCAATCTCATTACTCACGTATTCTCATACTTCTGAACTCTTTGCGCTACTTATGTATTCTAACACAGCTGAGTTCCTTGCAGTACCTATGTGTCCTGACAATACTGATCTCATTGCACTACGAATGTATTCTGATATAGCTAAATTAATTTACTACATCCGTATTCTGATACTTCTGAACCTTTTAGCATTTCTTATGTATTCTGATAATACTAATCTCATTGTACTACGAATGTATTCTGATACTGCTACACTCCCTTCACTACACGTATATTCTGATACTGTTAAATTATTTTCACTACGTGTGTATTTTGAGACTGCTACACTCCCTTCACTACACATATATTCTGATACTGTTAAATTATTTTCTCTACGTGAGAGACTGCTAACCTCATTGCACTACGTAAGTATTGTGACAATACTGATCTCATTGCAATAGGTATGTATTCTGATACTGCTAAACTCCTTGCATGACACATGCCGCACTTCTTTAAGAGCTAACGACATTACTGAATCGACCTTTACCATAAGATGTATTCTGATACTGTTAAATTATTTTCACTACGTGTGTATTCTGATACTGCTAAACTCCTTACATGACACATGCCGCACTTCTTTAAGAGCTAACGACATTACTGAATCGACCTTTACCATAAGAGGTAACGACTGAACCTCAGACTTTGATGACGTGTTAGTTTAATCTATAAATTATTTAACGCTTCTAGAATGAATTTAAATTTAATACAACTCATTTCAACTTAACCTCTATAAGCAAAGAAACATATCTAATTTCCTGTCCATCGGTGGATCAGCGGTAAGTTTAGGGTTAGTTAAAATTCGATGTTCGATTTCCGCGGTGGGCAGAATGCAGATAGCCCGTTGTGTAGCTTTGCACTAAGACAACAACATTTAATGTTTACTCTCACGTAAATGTGGGCAAATAAACAATTACTCTTTTATCGAAGAACTGGGTATTATATGTTTATCATCAAACCAATAATTCCGACAGTTTTTTATCCCAAACAACTATTCATTTATTTATATTTGCATGATAAATAAAAAACAAATATAGCGAGACGATGTAGATATCAGTGTTATCATTAGATTATACGCTTTTAATTAATATACAAAATTTCCTATACAGTTCATGTGACACCACGGTTACACATTTAAGAGGTGACGTCAAGCGCTACGTGCTTCCTTCTTTGGGCATGTGTTAAACAGCCACATGTCCTGCAACATTTAGGACGCCCATTTAGGTAAGTTTATAACCGGTTTCATGGGTGTGTGCACAAAACAACTGACCCAGCCAATAGAGTTGTGACACCATCTGGTGGTGTTTGCTCAGATCAATCTACTTAATTCACGCATGTAAACAAATACGACCTTTTGTGTGTGTTTTTTACTTCAACTAAGCACGTTTTAGTAACTATATTACATCCACACACACACACACACACACTTACATACATATATAAACTAGCCAATGATATACAAATTCGATGACGAGG